GGGAGGAAGGAAAAGGAAGAGAAAAAGGGAGAAGGAAGAAGAGAGAAAGGTGGAGGGAGAGAGTAGAAAGAGAAGGGAGAAGAGAAAAATAAGAGGGGAAGGAAGGAGAGAAGGAAGGAAGATGAGAAAGGGACAAAGGAGAAGGAAGGGAAAGGAAGATTGGAAGGGAGGAAGGAAAAGGAAGAGAAAAAGGGAGAAGAGAGAAAGATGGAAGGAGGGAGAGAGTAGAAAGGAAGGAAAATGGGAAAGGAGGGAGGGAAATAGGAAGTAGGAAGAAAAGGAAAGGGAGTGGGAAGGAACGAAGGAAAGAAGGAAAGAAGGAAGGAAGGAAGGAAGATGATAAGCAGGCAGGTAGGTAGATGACCTAGCCCACTACATTTTAGCTATTGTGGGAACGTAGCTCAAGTGGTCAGTTTAGGGTTTAGGGGTGTCCTGCAAAACATTGGGAACATTGGGTCCATGGCATAAACCCCAACTCAGTCTTTCGGTGCTGGAAATGGGCTTTCCAGAGAGGCGAGGAAGTCAGCTCTTGCCCAGGGTCTCCCTTTCCAGGGCCCAGTGGTGAAATCCAATTTTTTTTTACTATCGGTTCTGTGGGCGTGGCGGGGCTTGGTGGGCGTGGCAGGGGAAGGATACTGCAAAATCCCCATTCCCTCCCCACTCTGGGGCCAGCCAGAGGTGGCATTTGCCGCTTCTCCGAACTGCTCAAAATTTCCGCTACGGGTTCTCCAGAACCTGCTGGATTTCACCCCTGGATGGACTGCACATGCCAGTCTCCGGAGCCCTGGGACTGCACCAGATTTTCAGGAAAAGAGCGCAACTTCTCACTCATTGTCCTTCCAAAAACCACCTAGAAATTCTTTGGAAGCGCTTCCTCCGCCATGCCACAACAGGAAGGCTGGCAGCCCTTCGGATCTGGGGCCAAATGTTTCCTGAGACAAGTGACATCACGCTAAAGATCCTTAAGAGATCCTCAGCTCTGTGAGAGGGGTGGTTTGAGAGAGGGAGGGAGGGAGAAAGAGAAAGAAAGAAAAAGAAAGAAAGAAAGAAAGAAAGAAGAAAGAAAAAGAAAGAAAGAAAGAAAGAAAGAAAGAAAGAAAGAAAGAAAGAAAGAAGAGAGGGATGGTGAAAAGGAAGAAAATAAAAGAAAAGGAGGGAGTTAGGGAAAGAAAAAAGGGAAAGGAAGGAAGGAAGAAAAAAGGAACAGAAAGAAAGGTGAAAGAAGGAGGGAAAAGAAAAGGAAGAAGGTATAGGGAGGGAAGGAGCTAGTGAAACAGAAAGAAAGGAAGGAAGAAGGAAGAAAAAAGGAAGAGAAAGAGAAGACAGGAAGGAAGATGAGAAGGGAGGGAGAGAAAACAAAAAGAAGAAAATACGGGAAAGGATGGAGTTAGGGAAAGAGAAAGAAGAAAGCGGAAAGGACTAGAGAGAAGTAGAAAGAGGGAGGGAGAAGAAAAGGAAGAAAGTACAGGGAAGGAGGGAGTTAGGAAAAAAGAAAGAGAAAAAAGAAAAGAAAGAAAGAAAGAAAGAAAGAAAGAAAAGAAAGAAAGAAGAAGAAAGAAAGAAAGACGAGGGATGGAGAAAAGGAAGAAAATACAGAAAAGGAGGGAGTTAGGGAAAGAAAAAAGGGAAAGGAAGGAAGGAAGAAAAAGGAACAGAAAGAAAGGTGAAAGAAGGAGGGAGGGAAAAGAAAAGGAAGAAGGTATAGGGAGGGAAGGAGCTAGTGAAAGAGGAAGGAAGGAAGGAAGAAAAAAGGAAAAGAAAGAGAAGACCTCCCTGAGTCTTCGGAGAGGGGCGGCATATAAATTTAATTAATGAAATTAAAGACAGAAAGGAAGGAAGGAAGATGAGAAGGGAGGGAGGGAGGGAGAAGAAAAGGAAGAAAATACAGGAAAGGATGGAGTTAGAGAAAGAGAAAGAAGAATGAAGGAAGCGGAAAGGACTAGAAGAAAGATAGAAAGCGAGAGGGAGAAGAAAAGGAAGAAAGTACAGGGAAGGAGGGAGTTAGGAAAAAAGAAAGAAAGAAAGAAAAGAAAGAAAAAAGAAAGAAAGAAAGAAAGAAAGAAAGAAAGAAAGAAAGAGAGGGAGGGAAGGGAGGGAGGGAGGAAAGCCATTCACTTTGAAAAAGGGCCAAAGTGCAGCCAAAGAGTTTGGGGGTTTCAGCACCTTCCGTGCAAGAAAAGGTTTTACAGCATTTGGGGTCCTTGGAGAAAAGGGGACAATTTGAGGGGCTGGAAACCCCTGTGCAGCATGGGCTCCATGGACCAGGCCTCATCTGGGGAAGCGGTTTACAAAATGCAGCCCTTTTTCACACACATACACACACACACACAAACACAAATAGCCTGTGGGACTCATTGCACAAAATGCAGATATGCCCCTAAATCAGGGGTCTCCAACTTTGGCACCTTGAAGACTTGCGGACTTCAACTCCCAGAATTCCTCTGTCAGCAAAGCTGGCTGGAGAGTTCTGGGAGTTGAAGGCCACAAGTCTTCATGCAAAACCGGCTGAGGAATTCTGGGAATTGGAGGCCACAAGTCTTCAAGCAAAGCCGGCTGAGGAATTCTGGGAGTTGAAGGCCACAAGTCTTCAAGCAAAGCCGGCTGAGGAATTCTGGGAGTTGGAGGCCACAAGTCTTCAAGCAAAGCCGGCTGAGGAATTCTGGGAGTTGAAGGCCGCAAGTCTTCAAGCAAAGCCGGCTGAGGAATTCTGGGAGTTGGAGGCCACAAGTCTTCAAGCAAAGCCGGCTGAGGAATTCTGGGAGTTGAAGTCCCCAAGTCTTCAAGCAAAGCCGGCTGAGGAATTCTGGGAGTTGGAGGCCACAAGTCTTCAAGCAAAGCCGGCTGAGGGATTCTGGGAGTTGAAGTCCCCAAGTCTTCAAGCAAAGCCGGCTGAGGAATTCTGGGAGTTGAAGGCCGCAAGTCTTCAAGCAAAGCCGGCTGAGGAATTCTGGGAGTTGAAGGCCGCAAGTCTTCAAGCAAAGCCGGCTGAGGAATTCTGGGAGTTGAAGGCCGCAAGTCTTAAAGCAAAGCCGGCTGGGGGATTCTGGGAGTTGAAGGCCACAAGTCTTCAAGCAAAGCCGGCTGAGGAATTCTGGGAATTGGAGGCCACAAGTCTTAAAGCAAAGCCGGCTGAGGGATTCTGGGAGTTGAAGGCCACAAGTCTTCAAGCAAAGCCAGCTGAGGAATTCTGGGAGTTGAAGTCCACAAGTCTTCAAGCAAAGCCGGCTGAGGAATTCTGGGAGTTGGAGGCCACAAGTCTTCAAGCAAAGCCGGCTGAGGAATTCTGGGAGTTGGAGGCCACAAGTCTTCAAGCAAAGCCGGCTGAGGAATTCTGGGAGTTGAAGGCCGCAAGTCTTCAAGCAAAGCCGGCTGAGGGATTCTGGGAGTTGAAGTCCCCAAGTCTTCAAGCAAAGCCGGCTGAGGAATTCTGGGAGTTGAAGTCCGCAAATCTTCAAGCAAAGCCGGCTGAGGGATTCTGGGAGTTGAAGGCCACAAGTCTTCAAGCAAAGCCGGCTGAGGGATTCTGGGAGTTGAAGTCCCCAAGTCTTCAAGCAAAGCCGGCTGAGGAATTCTGGGAGTTGAAGTCTGCAAATCTTCAAGCAAAGCCGGCTGAGGGATTCTGGGAGTTGAAGGCCACAAGTCTTAAAGCAAAGCCGGCTGGGGGATTCTGGGAGTTGAAGGCCACAAGTCTTCAAGCAAAGCCGGCTGAGGAATTCTGGGAATTGGAGGCCACAAGTCTTAAAGCAAAGCCGGCTGAGGAATTCTGGGAATTGGAGGCCACAAGTCTTAAAGCAAAGCCGGCTGAGGGATTCTGGGAGTTGAAGGCCACAAGTCTTAAAGCAAAGCCGGCTGAGGAATTCTGGGATTGGAGGCCACAAGTCTTCAAGCAAAACCGGCTGAGGGATTCTGGGACTTGAAGGCCACAAGTCTTCAAGCAAAACCGGCTGAGGAATTCTGGGAGTTGAAGGCCACAAGTCTTAAAGCAAAGCCGGCTGGGGGATTCTGGGAATTGAAGGCCACAAGTCTTAAAGCAAAGCCGGCTGGGGGATTCTGGGAGTTGGAGGCCACAAGTCTTCAAGCAAAGCCGGCTGGGGAATTCTGGGAGTTGAAGGCCACAAGTCTTAAAGCAAAGCCGGCTGGGGAATTCTGGGAGTTGAAGGCCACAAGTCTTCAAGCAAAGCCGGCTGAGGAATTCTGGGAATTGAAGGCCACAAGTCTTAAAGCAAAGCCGGCTGAGGAATTCTGGGAGTTGAAGGCCACAAATCTTCAAGCAAAGCCGGCTGAGGAATTCTGGGAGTTGAAGGCCGCAAGTCTTCAAGCAAAGCCGGCTGAGGGATTCTGGGAGTTGAAGGCCGCAAGTCTTCAAGCAAAGCCGGCTGAGGGATTCTGGGAGTTGAAGGCCGCAAGTCTTCAAGCAAAGCCGGCTGAGGGGGATTCTGGGAGTTGAAGGCCGCAAGTCTTCAAGCAAAGCCGGCTGGGGGATTCTGGGAGTTGAAGTCCCACAAATCTTCAAGCAAAGCCGGCTGAGGAATTCTGGGAGTTGAAGGCCGCAAGTCTTCATGCCAAACAGGCTGGGGGATTCTGGGAGTGGAAGTCCAGCCGTCTTCAAGCGGCCAAGGCCGGAGAGCGCTGCCCTTAGGCGCCGGGTCCTGCGGCGTTCCTCCCGGGGGCGCTGGGCTCTCCCCTTAAAGCGAGGGGACCCGAGCAGCCTCCCTGGCCGGAGGAGGTCGCTGCTTGCCGGCTTGCTTGGGCTGTCGGGCGGTGGCGCTGCTTGCGAGGGCTGCGGATCCCGCCCGGCTGCCCGCTCCGCCTCCCTCTCCTCCTCGTGGCCGGCGGAGGGGCGGCCCTGGCCGGCCGGGCGCTGGGCAGGCTCGCCCTTGCGCACTCCAAGCCCAGCCGCCGCCGAGCCTCTGGCGCAAAAGCCGCGCAAGCCATGCGCCCCGCTGCCCAGCCGGGATCGCGCCGCCGCCCATGAGCCCGCGGGGATCGCGCCGGAGACCGCCAGGAGGAGGAGGGGGCGGCGTGGGGGGCGCCCCGGCCTCCCTGCTCTGCCCCTCCGGCTGGCCCGGCCCCCCCGCGCCCAAGATGATCCCCCACTTCTCGGCCGACGCCGTCATCTCCCAGAACGCCATCAACCAGCTGTGAGTCCCGGCTGGGGCGGGGGTCGCGCCCCCCCCTCTGCCCGCTCCTGCCTCCCTCCGCCGGCCGGGCTGCCTTTCCCGACTTCTGGACTCGGGGGCGGTGGGGAAAGTCCCGGTGGTCGCAGACAGCCAGCACCCCGCTTTGAGTCCGGGGCTGGGGCGGGGGTCGCGGCTGCTGCTTGCCCCCCAACTCCCACTCGAGGCTTCCTCCGCCGGCCGGGCTGCCTTTCTTCTCTTCTCCCCACTTCTGCGCTTGGGGGGGGACCAAGGGCTGGTCGCTGACTCTGCTGGGGCGGGGGTCGTGGCTGGTGCTCTCCCCCCAACTCCCGCTTGAGTTTTTCCTCCGCCGGCCGGGCTGCCTTTCCTCTCTTCTCCCCACTTCTTCCCTTAGGGGGGTGGCCTCGGGGGGGGGGGGAACCAAGGGATGGTCGCTGACTTTGCTGGGGCGGGGGTCGCGGCTGTGCTTGCCCTCCAACTCCCACTCGAGGCTTCCTCCGCTGGCCAAGCTGCCTTTCTCCCTACTTCTGCACTGGGGGGGCTCCGAAGCGGTGGGGAACCAGAGGGTGGTCGCTGTGAGTCTAGGGAGGGGGCCAGGTTGGGGCAGGGGTCTCGGCTATTGCTTACCCCCCACTACTTCCCGCTTGAGTCTTCCTCCGCCGGCCAGGCTGCCTTTCCTCTCTTCTCCCCACTTCTGCGCTGGGGGGGGGGGGGGGGGGGGGGGGACCAAGGGATGGTCGCTGACTCTGCTGGGGCGGGGGTCGCGGCTAGTGCTCGCCCCCCAACTCCCACTCGAGGCTTCCTCCGCTGGCCAGGGTGCCTTTTCTCCCTTCTCCCTACTTCTGCGCTTGGGGGGCTCGCGGGCGGTGGGGAACCAGGGGGGGGTCGCTGGGGCGGGGGTCGCGGCTGCTGCTTGCCCCCCTACTTCCCGCTTGAGTCTTCCTCCGCCGGCCAGGCTGCCTTCCTTCCCTTCTCTCTAACTTCTGCGCTGGGGGAGAGGGGGACCATGGGCTGTGTGAGTTTGGGGAGGGGGTCGGGGGTCCCGGCAGCTGCTCTCCCACCCACCCACCCACCCCTCTTCCCGCTCGAGTCTTCCTCCTCCTCCTCCTGGCCAGGGTGCCTTTCCTCCCTTCTCCCTACTTTTGGGGACGGCGGGGAAACTTTCCCCGAAACTTCTGCAAACTTTCTCCCGAAGAGCGCGGGGCCAGAGCTCCGGATCGGCTCCGGTGGCTGCCTCGCTCGCTTGCCCGGCCTCCGCGCCCTTCCTGCTCTTCTTCCCGGCGAGCGAGAGCTGCTGCCAGGGGGCACAGAGGTTGGCTCTCCCCATATAGATTATCTATCCCCCCCCCACTTTGGGGGAGTTCTCGCCGCCCCTTGACCCGGGTTAGCGGTCGTGTGAATGTAGCCTCTCTGGCGTTTGGCCCCGGGGAAGGGGACGGGGGCTTTTCCCACCCGGGACCCCCCCCCCCATTGTCAAGGAGAGACCCTCCTCTTTGGTCTCCTTCCCCCTCGGCTGCTCCAGATTAGCAGAATTCGCTTTAAACCACCAACGCCGTGGAAACGTGGGATTGTTTGTGTCTTAGTTCCGGGTTATTGTTCTTGTGACTACAAGTTTGATTGATTTATTGATTGGATTGCTTTGATTGATTGTGGGGGTTTCCGGAGTGGATGAAACATTTCGTTTTATTGATGCCTTGCTGGGAAAGTCAAGGTCCTCGGGATTTTCAATTTGTTGCAACTTCTTTAACTTATCTTCAGCAAAGTTGTTGTGAGGATAGGAAGTGTCTGGTGGATTGCCATTTGCTGGGGGGGGGTGTTGGGAGTGGGGAAAACAAACTAGGATTCCAACATGGGAGTTTAGTTTAGGTCAAGGTGAGGCTGTGAATGTTGAACTTAAATTGGGTAGTCAAGCTTGGCAACTTTGTGGACTTCAATTCCCAGAAATTCCCCAGCCAGCTATGAAGTCCAGGAGGCTTAAAGTTGCAAAAGTTGGTTGGAGGATTCTGGGAATTGAAGTCCATACAGCTTAAAGTTGCAATGGTTGACTGAGGAATTCTGGGAGTTGAAGTCCACCAGGCCTAAAGATGCCAAGGTCAGCCAGATAATTCTGGGAATTGGAATCCACAAGGCTTAAAGTTTGTCACGGCCAGGGAATTCTGGGAGTTGAAGTCCACACGGCTTAAAGTTGCAATGGTTGGCCAAGGAATTCTGGGAGTTGGAGTCCACCAGACTTAAAGTTGCAAAAGTTGGCTGGGGAATTCTGGGAATTGAAGTCCACACGGCTTAAAGTTGCTATGGTTGACTGAGGAATTCTGGGAATTGAAGCCCACCAGGATTAAAGTTGCCAAGGTCAGCCAGGTAATTCTGGGAGTTGAAGTCCACAAGGCTTAAAGTTTCTCACGGTTGGCCAGGGAATTCTGGGAGTTGAAGTCCACCAGGCTTAAAGTTGGCAAGATCAGCTGGGGAATTCTGGGAATTGAAGTCCATGTGGCATAACATCTGCCGAGGTCGGGTGGGGAATTCTGGGAGTTGAAGTCCACCAGGCTTAAGTTGGCAAGATCAGCTGGGATTCTGCTAATTGAAGTCCATGTGGCATAACATCTGCCGAGGTCGGGTGGGGAATTCTGGGAGTTGAAGTCCACCAGGCTTAAAGCTGCCAAGATCGGATATCCCTGACTTTAAAATGATTTCCCAATTCTACTTCCTGGTCAGTTTTTAAATTCTGAATTCTGAACTCTTCCTGCCTGATGCAACTGCCCGGTCGAACATCTCTCTTTCCAAAGAATTCCCGGCTCTACTTGTCTTCTTGGCTGCAGCTCCTTCCAAGCTCTCTGCCCCCATAAGTGGGGTGGTGGGGAAGGGGGCTGGCATCCCTCCTAATCAGATGTCGGAGAAGGCGAGCCAAGAATAGCTCCAGAGATGACTGTGTCAGCAAAGAGACATTGGATTCAGCAGCAGGAAAGGCGGGGGGGGGGAACGGGGGACGACGGACCCTCTTCCGTAGACAACGGAGGGGTTTTCAGACCGGGTGGGGAGGGGGAATAGGGATCCCGGGACCCCCAGTTTAGTTCTCTCCGGATTCAACGGGACTTGGATACAAATGAGTTTGGAAGGCAGCAAATTTGGGGAAACCTTCAGTCATCAAAGGTGAGATTTTTGCACCCACCGTTTTTTTGCCCTTGAAAAGCTAACACTGCCAATCGGCCCTTTTTTTGGGGGGTTGGGGGTGTCAGTCTGGAAGTAATTGACAGACTGAGATAAAACACACACACACACATCCCAACTTCTCCCTGTCTGCATCTTGTTTTCTTCCTGGCCGTCTTGGTTAATTTTTAAGCCAATTCTGGCATCAATATTTATTATCTTATCGTCGGAAGTTCTTACTTGGCATTTGTTTATTTATTAAAATCTTGTATGCCCACCCCACCCATCCCTCGCCAAGAGACGCCTCTGGGCAGCTTAACAACCAAGTACAAACAAGCTTAAAATCTTCAAATAATCAACATTACAACGCTAACATTAAAAACACCAGGTAGTCCTTGATTTAGGACTGCAACTCCCAACATTTCCATTGCTCAGCGGGGCAGTTGTTAAGTGAGATTTGCCCCATCGTTATGGCCTTTCTTTCCACCGTTGTTAAGTGATTCATCGCAGTCGTTAAGTGGATTGCACGGTCGTTAAATGAATCTGGCTTCCCCCATCGACTTTGCTTGTTAGAAGGTCACCAAAGGGGGATCACCACGACCGTCATAAATACGAATCCGTTGCCAAGCGGACTTAATTTTGTTCACGTGACCACGGGAGAACACTGCAACGGTCATAAGCGTGAAACACGGTCGTAAGTCCCTTTTTTTGGTGCCGTTGTAACTTTGAATGGTCACTAAACGAACGGTTGTAAGTTGAGGACTACCTGCAAAATATCTTTTGACTCGTTTTGAAGCTGGCATCGTCTAGAGCAGTCTTCAAACTTGGCAGCTTTAAGACTTCAACTCCCAGAATTCTCCAGTCAGCGCTGCTGGCTGGGGGATTCTGGGAGTTGAAGTCCACCCATCTTCAAGCTACCAAGGTTGAGAAACACTGCTCTAGACTCACCTTTTGGTGAGATGGACAGCGTAGAAATCAATCAATAATCAATCAATAAAATTAAACACCAGGGAAAATAACAGAGGAAGAGGAAAGAAGAGGAATTTATTATTTATTTATTTAAATTAATAAATGGAAATTAAAATGGAAATTAAAAAAAAAAACCATGTTGCATTTGGAGTTGGCTATTATAACCGGCTGAGAAAAGGCTCCAGCTTCCCCCTTAACAGCAGCTGCACATCTGTTTGCGGTCGGCGGAGTTCACCCCACAGGCCGCCTCTAGCCAAGCAAACCGCATTGTGGCTCAGCGCGATGATGGGAACCAGCCTTTGTGCTTTGCAAATCACAATTTATGGCTCCAGAAAGGATTCCCTTGTATTTTATTATTCAAGCTGTGGTTAACCAAAGGGATCTGCGTTTTTCTGACCTTGGCCCAGTTTTAAGACCTGTACATGCCAACTAGGAAACTGACCTCCAACCACAACGACAAAAACTACTGTGTTTCCCCGAAAATAAGACCCTGTCTTATATATTTTTTTGAAGCCCGAAATAAGCGCTTGGCCTTATTTTCGGGGAGGTCTTATTATTTTGGGGCGCACGGAGCGAGACGGGGCTCCTCTTGCCGTCTTACCTGATTTCCAGCTCTGCGTTTAAATATTTTCGGGGGGAGGGCTTATTTTTTGGGGGGGGGGCTTATTTTAGCACATGCGCTGAAAAGCCCGATTGGGCTTATTATCTGGGGGTGTCTTATTATTATTTATAAAAAAAAAATTATTTATAAAATGTATATGCCGCCCTATATGAGTCCTTCGGGAGAAGGGCGGTATACAAATTTAAATAATAAATAAATAAAATAAAATCTCCAAGGTCTCAGGGCGGCTCACAACAACAATCGAACAAGCGACTGTTAAAAAACAACA